TGTGGACTTCTTAATTGTGAATTACCACTATTCATGTCAGGTGTATTTGCGGGGACATTATTTGTCAATGGTAAATCGGACCCTGGTGTCTGTCCAGTAGCTACATTATCAGACAATATTATGGGCTGTGCAATGTTACTACCTGAAGTAACTGATGTAGCAGAGGAAGCTGAACTGGAACCTAATTGTACTATTTTAGTCCCTGCTGGTGTGTTTGTGTTATGGGTTGGGTCCTTAATGGGTGTTGGTGCAGTTTCTTTATTGACAGCTCCTGAAGACGCTTGTGAACCCAAACTAATTAAATGATTGGCCGGAACTGTCTGTGGGAGTACCTTCTTCACTGGTAGTGATGTGGTTGGCTGTAGTAATGGGTCAAGGTGGATATTCTTTCGTAATGACGTTCCAGAGGACTTAGGAATGGAGGGGTTATTGGTAAATGACATACTCCTGTCAGTGTTTCTTCCCATCATGGTTCTTTGTGAAAAGTTATTGGTTGTAGTTCCAGTCTTCTTTGGTTGGACTTCAAGTGGCTGCTGATTAACAGAAAATGATTGGGCAGCTGTTTTACTGCCTAGAGGTGTGTTATCAACAAACGCTTCTCTTGTGGCTGGGCTTATATTCCTACTTGTTATCAACTTATCAAGGGGTGCTTGCCTCTTAGTGATCATCGCAGGAGAAGAAATGGATGACGTTTCAACGAAAGTCTGCACGTTAGTGACTGGTTGTGTGGCAGCTGGGTTATCAGCAGTGGGTTGAAGTAATGGTTGCAGGTTTGGTTGCTTTCTTGTAGAGCTTGTGGGTATTTGCATTTTAGGGGAGGTGACACTTGACGAGTTGCTGATAGTGGGGATATCTAAAATGGTAGGGTTTGTAAACGTTTGTTGAGTGGCAACAATAGAGCTTGTTGAAGCCTGATTTGAGGAAGTATTTCCTGATGGCAGTTTGATATGTTGAACTGAAGAAGCAGAATTGATGGAATTTGTATGCGTTTGAGTGGATGGTGTCATGCTGACAGATGTAAGTGTTTCATTAGAAGAGAATGCAGCACTAGGCATGCTGTTCGAGGAACCAGGCTGGTTTGAACTAGATGATGTTGTATCTTTACTAGATAGTTTTCCAGAAGTTGTAACAACAGTGGAATTAGCATCAGTTGTTAGCATTCTTTTAAGAAGGGAAATTATAGATGTCAACTGTGGTAACACTGAAAATGAATTCAAAGTTTGACTGGAATCGAGTGGCAAAGCGTTAACATTAGCACTTCCTCGTGATGAAACCACTGGCAGGGCACCTGCGGTTAACTGTTGCACAGGGGTAAAGGTAGAAGAGGGAATGCCTGTTTGTTTAAAATCCAGTGCTTGTGCAGCCAAATCCTGTAGAGGACCCCTTAGCGTTACTGTGTTAAGTGTTTGTACAATACCAGTTGGTGTAGTGGTGCTAGGAGTTTGGTGAAATCCTTCAATAGGTACATTTTTACCAGTAGCTGGAGTGGGTAAGAATTGGCTTGTAGATGCCGTATGATTAGATGATGTGAGTCCAGTAATAGAAATTGGAGGAACTTCAAGTGATCCTTGGTTTATGGGCAGAGTCGTCTTCATTACCGTTGTTCCAGTAGATGTCGGTGGAACATCAAGCGATCCTTGGTTTCCAGGTAGAGTCTGTTTTGTGACCGTGATTCCTGTAGAGGTCGGTGGAACATCAAGCGATCCTTGATTTCCAGGTAGAGTCTGTTTTGTTGCCGTTGTTCCAGAAGAGGTAAATGGAACATCAAGCGTTACCGCTTTTCCTGTAGAGGTCGGTGGAACATCAAGCAATCCTTGGTTTTCAGGTAGAGTCTGCTTTGTTGCCGTTGATCCAGTAGAGGTCGGTGGAACATCAAGAGATCCTTGGTTTCCAGGAAAAGTCTGTTTTGTGACCGTGATTCCTGTAGATGTCGGTGGAACATCAAGAGATCCTTGGTTTCCAGGTAAAGTCTGTTTTGTGACCGTGATTCCTGTAGATGTCGGTGGAACATCAAGAGATCCTTGGTTTCCAGGTAGAGTCTGTTTTGTTGCCGTTGTTCCAGTAGAGGTCGGTGGAACATCAAGAGATCCTTGGTTTCCAGGTAAAGTCTGTTTTGTGACCGTGATTCCTGTAGAGGTCGGTGGAACATCAAGAGATCCTTGGTTTCCAGGTAGAGTCTGCTTTGTTGCCGTTGTTCCAGTAGAGGTCGGTGGAACATCAAGAGATCCTTGGTTTCCAGGTAAAGTCTGTTTTGTTACTGTTTTTCCTGTAGAGGTCGGTGGAACATCAAGAGATCCTTGGTTTCCAGGTAAAGTCTGTTTTGTTACTGTTTTTCTTGTAGAGGTCGGTGGAACATCAAGCGATCCTTGGTTTCCAGGTAGAGTCTGCTTTGTTGCTGCTTTGTGACCGTGATTCCTGTAGAGGTCGGTGGAACATCAAGCGATCCTTGGTTTCCAGGTCTGCTTTGTTGCCGTTGTAGTAGAGGTCGGTGGAACATCAAGCGATCCTTGGTTTCCGTTACAGCTTTTACTGTAGAAGTCGGTGGAACATCAAGTGATCCTTGGTTTCCAGGTAGAGTCTGCTTTGTTACCGTTGTTCCAGAAGAAGTTAACAGTACATAAGGAGATCCATGGCTTGTAAATACATTGTGTTTAGTTACTGTTTTTCCGGTAGATGTCGAGTGAGCTCCAAGAGATCCTTGGTTTGTAAGTATCTGCTGCTTAGATATAATTTTCTCGCTTAACGTTGGAGTATCAATAAACGCTCGGTTGGTAAGTACCGCTTGTTTTACCACTGTTGGCCCAGTAGCAGAATAAGCTTCAGGAGATCCACCATTTGGTATTTTTGTCTGCTCTGCCATAGTTTGCTTTGTGGAAGAAGCAGACGATGTGGTATCCACAGCATTAGTTGTAGTAGTAGCAGCAGTAGTAGCAGTAGTGACTGCATCTTGACGTCTTTGGGCCTCGGGTAAAGTGGATACATCAGGTGCTGACTGTCTGGATGACATAATGAGGGAATGAGCAGATCCTTGCGGTTCTAGTATCGACTTTACAGTTTGCCGTGAAGTAGCACTAGTTGCATTTGATCTTTGACCTGTAGATTTTGTCTGCTTCATTTCGCTTTGATTTTTTGTGATATTTGATCTGTTGCTTGTTGGTTCCCCATTCGTTGATGTTGTTCTATTCGAGGCAGTAGACACAGCGTTATTTACTGCATTATTTACAGTAGTAATGGTCATATTGTTTGATGTTTTAATTGCAGGCAGTTGAACATTTTGAAGAACATTATTCGATTGTATATTTTTGAATCTTGTGACTTTGAAACAGACTGGAAAGATCTGATTTGATCGGATGCAACACTAAACGTTCCCAAATGTTCTTGGTTTGACATGTGACCCGCAGCACCTATATCCTTGTTTGTTTGATGTGCGAGAGGTGCTATAGCTGTAGCATCCTGAGTAACCTTCTCAGGTATGTGTGCATTAGTGAGCGGAGGAATTTGACTGCGAATTCTAACTTCGGGGGTCCTAACTAGACCCCCTTTGTCTAGCACTGGTTTCATACTGATATCCCTTCTATTGTGTGTTTCTTTACGGGACATTATCAAACCCCTCTTTTCGTATGGAAGACGGTTTGACAAATGGGACACTGCATTGTCTAAACTCTGGTGTTCTGAAATACTGAAACCCTCATGATTAGATGTTATGTGTGAAGAATTTACGTTATTTCTGCCTACCGACATTGGAACAGGACGACGAATAGGTAATTTCTTTATGAATGAATTACCACCAGCCCCGCTAGTTATTAGGGGATCTTTGCGAGTGATTTGTGGATTTGCACTTGTCATGGAATGCTTGTTGACATCGGTTTGTACATTCTGATTTAGAGCTCTTTCTGATTCCATGGAAGATGTGTTTAAAGGAACTGATGCAGATGTAGACAATGATGAGGTTGTGTGTATTGCTGGTGTATGTTCAGTTGTAGGCATAACTGTGGTTGTTGATGATTGCATTGTTCTCCGAGTAACCGAAGGAGCCTTTCTTGTACGTGAAATCTTTGTTGGCTGTTCTTTCCTTAACCTGTCTGATGATTTATTGTTAACGCTCGTGGCGGAAGTAGGCACTTGTCCCATTGGTCGTGTCATTAACGGGTCCGTATTCGCGGATGTTGACAGAAACCGTCTCAGCATTGGATCCCTGCTTGCCATCAATCTTCTCCTAGCATTATCTAAACGTATTTGTCTTCGTGCAAATAGGTTCTGTATGGGAATGTTTTGTGAGATTAGATTATCAAATGAGCGTCCTGATTTCACCGTACCTGTTCCTGCTGGTGCGGCACGCTTTAATCGATGTTTTACGTTCCCCATTCCATTATCATTCAAGAGATGCCTTATGGATATTTCTCAGCCTCTGACGCACTATGTTTACTAGCCTGATAATAAAGATAATTGTCCCTTGCAGTCTGAGTGTTTCTAACAGGGAAGATGTCTTTTATTTCAGCATGCATAAGGAAATATCCATACTTTGTTGGCTCTTTTATCACTTTATTACCATCACCTACATCGCGCAAACGTTCATCAGTATCCTGGTGTGTGAGGATCGGATTTAAAACATCGGATGATTTTCCTGGACTTTTCCCGCCTCTTCCTTTCACCTGATCATTGGTGACACCTGCAGCGGAGTCCAAAATATTAGATGTCAGTTTCAATTGATTTGTTTGTGCGAGTGCATGTGCAGTGCTCCGAGAATCCAGCGGTGGTGCTGAGAATCCAGACGAGTGCTCAGTAGGAGGAACAGACGAAGTGACGTGGTCATTGACAAACACAGTAGTTGGTGATACACGTGAAGCATGCGTCAGGGGAAGAGTAACAGATACAGTATTAGTAACGGGTGCATCAACAGGCAATATTCTTACGTTAAGTGTTAGGTTGTACGGGTGCAAGTGTACATCTAGACTACGTTCAGCAACATGTTTAGAAGCTACATTCTTATCAAACGGTACCGTGGATCCCTGTGCTGGTGCTCCGGCTCCTCCAAACGCCTGTGGATCTTGGTATTGTGATGGTGCTGCACCCTGGCTGCCTGTGGGTGGCACAGATACGATTATTTCGTGTATCTGACCAGTGCCGCCTGTTTGGCTGCTGACGATCTGACGAATCTGGTCCATCACTGCAGGATCACCTACTAGCTGTTGAAGCTCTGCCTGGGTCATTGCGCCATGTGGACCATTAGGATCTAGCTGCACTTGTATCTCTGTCAGCTGAAGCATGAGGGAATAGTGTTACTGAACATTACACCAAGACCTACATGGTATATAAACAACACTACCAACTGGTTCAGTGTTTAATTTTGTGTAACGTCTAAATACAACGCATTCTTAACCAGGGTGAAACAATTAGTGTTTTTAAAAGAACGGCCCGCACATTATGGACGCTATTTCGCCTGATACGTGATATGGGGCGGTGGGTAGCCTAGTGGTTGGAGCTTTCGCTATTCACGCCAAAGACCCGGGTTCGATTCCCGCATGGATACAATGTGTGCAGCCAATTCTGGTGTGCCCCGAAGTGGTATTGCTTGAATATTACCAAAAGTGCCTAAAGTACCCACTCACTGATCCGTGAGACAGCGACTAACACAATTGGGTACTTGGACAGGCTATCAGTCAGGTCAATGATTGTGTCACTACATGACATGGGTGCATACCATCCCCACTTTAGCCAGGTCAATGGTTGTGTCACTACATGGCATGGGTGCATACCATCCCCACTTTAGCGGTTACGGCATGGAGGGGAGCTTAGTGGACCAAAATATACACCGGAATTGTGACATTGATGTTGACAAACATCAGCCTCAAAATGTGGAGTCACTTTCAAACATAGTATCTTGTGGTAGTCATTTTATATTCAGGATGCAGTGTTTTCATATTTTATATACCATGCATATTGACATTGTTTCTGTTAGGCCATACATTGATGAAACGTCAATGTTCCAAGCGATGACATATACATTACACGAAGACAATGCCTCAACAAGAAGCATACACGACATCTTGCAGTACTTTGACCTTGAAGGTAAGTGAGCACCAGGCCAGACTATTCATTCCTTAACGCAGCTGTACATTGCTTAAACTTTTGGCATGGTAGAGTGAGTGAGTGATTGAGTGAGTAGGGTTTAACGCTGCTTTGGTCAGGTATCAGATATATCACGGCGAGTCACCCATATATGGGTGGAACGGAGAGGTGTAGGTTTCAGAGTCGTCCACTTAGTATATACACTCACAAGCACTGGTATGGTGCTGATAAACATATAATTGGAACTAGCCGGGATTGGAACCACAATCCTAGGCTTCTGGTGCACCCAAGGGATGGAACTGCTTTCGGCACTTTAGACGACCGGACAACCCACGTAGTCACATGACAGAATCACATCCAAAAGGATTTATGCCAGGTTTCAGCTTTTTCAAAATACATCCGAGGTTAGTACCACCAACCTGTTCTCCATTTGGTCCAATCGTCTGTGTTTGTATGACCTGAAGGTCAAGCTGATCTGGTGGTTGTGCTGCGCCTGTACCCATCTGGCTAGTTCCTCCTGGTGCACTCCCACCCACCTGGCCCTGGTTGACACCGTGGGGACTACCCTGATGGATGGCATGCTGAGTGCCATGCCCAGATCCGGTACTGCCTGCGTTACCCTGAACCGGAGCAGGGTGGCCTAGGTTGACTGATCCTGTACAACATTCAATATTGCACCATTGCAAATATAGGCTGGACTGCACATACACCGTCATAAAGCGCGATACGTGTAGTTTGCAAGGATGGTGTTAAAACTAATGGAAAGTTTACCACCGAAAACAAAGCGACGGACCACATCAACACATAAACACCGTTGATATAAAATTTTCACGCTAGAGAAAGATAGTGTTGATTATCAGCGCAACGGATTCTATTGGGAGTAAACGTCAAAAAAGTTATAAATATTTGATAAATGGATCACTTAAAATAAGTAATGGCACGTTCGTGGAAAGTGTAGGCCGGCTAGTACCAACACCACAGACATACTTTGAATAAAACAATACGTGTTATAACCTAACAACCATCAGCCATGATGTTGCCATTCGACAGCAGTAACACGATAGTAACAAACAATTTATTTGATCTTTTTCGTCTACTACGGTGGTCCTTCTAGGCTACCATACTTCCGTCTTGTTTGCAGGAAGCCAATATTGTTTGACACATTTACACGGTTCAAGCTATATCACGAGTCTTATGTTTGAAACATCTACGATAATAATCCTCACCTTGTTGCTGAAACTGCGGAGCCCCGTGAGATTGTCCTTGTGCGTGCATGCCCAGTTGTTCTGGGGTCAAGGCATTTGGAGACAAGCCCTTGCTTTGAAGCCATCGTTGAAGGGTCTTGTTGAACAAAGCGTCAACATTTATCTGAGACAGTCTTTGAGATATGAAGTCATTTTGCCTGGGGGCGCTGTCGAATTGCATACGTGAATGTTGTATATACTGGGGATCTGCATAGCGCAGGATGTTACAGTTAATGACACGGTCGAAGTGGGGCTGAGTGGGGCGGTAGTTGTCCATGAGAAACTCTTCAAGGGGTAAATGTTTCATCGGGGAGTGGTGGTTGTTTCCGAAGCCATGACCTCCTTGACCTCCGTGACCTCCATGACCTCCATGGCCGTGAGAGTCGTGAGATTCATAGAGACGTCTGAGCATTTGGATCTAAAAACATGCCAATAAACTTTGTATGAAAATTTACATTTCAAATTTACATTTCCTGATTTAACAAATATGTGAAAGACTGAGCTCCAAATAAGATTTTCAGATTAGCCTTTATCGAACTATTATAGTTCCAAAAACAAACATAGACACATTCCCTTATGTCTCTTTCATAAAGATAGTCTTTTAAGTCCCAATCAGGAGTGACGTTGAAAGTTCCAATATTGAACCCAATTGATATCTTCAAATAACGTTCAGGTTTTCTAGGGTTTCCGATTTGCCTGGGGTGGCTCAGAAACAGTTGTAAGAGAGTAAGTATGTCATGGTTGAAGTCTGACATTTATAACAGTATTTGTTTCATACTATGTCAAAACGTGACAATAAGTTAGTACACTAGGATGTAATCGATCACACGTGATCGGACCAATGCTCTTACACCGCCTCCATTTATCATCTATCACTTTTTTCCTTGCATGGACTGGCGGGAGAACGAAGTAGACGCCCATGTTTTACGGCAACCCAAATGAATTCGATCTGATGTACATGATAAAGAAATCATAGCTGGGTTTGCCTGCAGTGTTTCGGCAACTGTGTTCAGCCTAGTAACATTTTGAAGACATTTGTATCGATGACAGTTAAATTTTGAAGAGGGTGCTTTTATTTGCCCGGTAATTTACGTACGTTAAAGATGTCGGAATGTCTTCGGTTTAATGTCGTGAAACTAAATATCTCCAGATTTTGTTTGTTTGACTGACGCAACTCTCAGCAATTTGAGGTTTTTGGTCTCCTGGAGTACTTGTGGCTATGTGTTTGCCAACTGCAGTTGGTACTTAGAGGTTTTAGTAAGAACATTCCTTTTGACAACAAAACAAATGGATCTTCGTCCATCGTCCATGATAAACCTGAACTATGGCCGCTTCTGAATCTATTCGATAGTATTTTCAAAGAAAACATTCATTAGAACACTTAACAAATCCAAATATTCATGAAGCTGTATTGACCAAACAGCAGCACCTCCTAATCATAAGCACAGCCTACGTACCTAACATTATCAGCCTGTTAACTATATAAACTTAATTTTGTTCCAGTACATGCTTTTTTCACAGTACTGTATATCGCAAGCTTGATAACGTTGTTAGCATCTACACCGAAACGTCGCATATATTGCCATGAAGTTGTGTATCTTTAGAACGTGTTAGTTCTCATATGGTTTTGGACATTTGGTAGAGACATGGAACGTGAAATCAGTCAAACGTAATGTACTTTTGCCAACAAGGTGAACACTGTATTTTGTCCCGTGTATCATTCAGTGATAAGCAGAAAGTTAGCTTAAACGATACTCTTTAAAAATATACAATCATCTAAACATCATAAAAATTGTTATATTCACAAATCAACATGTGAGCAGCCATTATGCCCGAAGCACAGACTCCAGTTGGTTGACCTTTAGAGAAGGATTAAGGTTTGGTAGAATTAAAAATGGAAATAATCAATAATGATAATAATGTCTGCCATTCTCTTAAATGCCTCAATATATGTCATGTCACGCAGCATGAATGATTGATGTACGACAGAAGAAAAAGACAGGCTAAAGCTTGTACTGATTTGAATTATTTCGACAACATTATTCCACAAAAGAAAATGATTAACAAAAATATATTGACGAAAAGAAGTAGTGATAATTAAATATCTTTATACACCGTACTTACTTACAGAAACTCCTCACTAAAAATATTCCCACAAATTCAAGGTCAAAACGTTTTAGTTCAGTATTTCAAACATACATTTACAGCTGTGATACTGCAGATTGTGATGTCAAACATACACTTACAGCTGTGATACTGCAGATTGTGATGTCAAACATACACTAACAGCTGTGATACTGCTGAATGTAATGTTCAACATACACTTACAGCTGTAGTACTGCTGAATGTGGTGTCAAACATACACTTACAGCTGTAGTACTGCTGAATGTGGTGTCAAACATACATTTACAGCTGTAATACTGCTGAATGTGGTGTCAAACATACACTTACAGCTATGATACTGCTGAATGTAGTGTTAAACATACACTTACAGCTGTGATACTGCAGATTGTGATGTCAAACATACACTAACAGCTGTGATACTGCTGAATGTAGTGTTCAACATACACTTACAGCTGTAGTACTGCTGAATGTGGTGTCAAACATACACTTACAGCTGTAGTACTGCTGAATGTGGTGTCAAACATACATTTACAGCTGTAATACTGCTGAATGTGGTGTCAAACATACACTTACAGCTATGATACTGCTGAATGTAGTGTTAAACATACACTTACAGCTGTGATACTGCAGATTGTGATGTCAAACATACACTAACAGCTGTGATACTGCAGATTGTGGTGTCAAACATACACTTACAGCTGTAAGTACTGCTGAATGTGGTGTCAAACATACACTTACAGCTGTAGATACTGCTGAATGTGGTGTCAAACATACACTTACAGCTGTAATACTGCTGAATGTGGTGTCAAACATACACTTACAGCTGTGATACTGCTGAATGTAGTGTCAAACATACACTTACAGCTGTGATACTGCAGATTGTGATGTCAAACATACACTAACAGCTGTGATACTGCTGAATGTGGTGTCAAACATACACTTACAGCTGTAATACTGCAGAATGTGGTGTCAAACATACACTTACAGCTGTAGTACTGCTGAATGTGGTGTCAAACATACACTTACAGCTGTAATACTGCTGAATGTGGTGTCAAACATACACTTACAGCTGTGATACTGCTGAATGTGGTGTCAAACATACACTTACAGCTGTGATACTGCTGATTGTGGTGTCAAACATACACTTACAGCTGTGATACTGCTGAATGTGGTGTCAAACATACACTTACAGCTGTGATACTGCTGAATGTGGTGTCAAACATACACTTACAGCTGTAATACTGCTGAATGTGGTGTCAAACATACACTTACAGCTGTAATACTGCTGAATGTGGTGTCAAACATACACTTACAGCTGTAATACTGCTGAATGTGGTGTCAAACATACACTTACAGCTGTAATACTGCTGAATGTGGTGTCAAACATACACTAACAGCTGTGATACTGCTGAATGTGGTGTGAACAAGACACTTACAGCTGTAATACTGCTGAATATGCTGTCAAACATACACCTACAGCTGTGATACTGCTGAATGTGGTGTCAACCATACACTTACAGCTGTGATACTTCTGATTGTGGTGTCAAACATACACTTACAACTGTCATACTGGTGGATGTGGTGTCAAACATACGCTAACAGCTGTGATACTGCTGAATGTGGAGTCAAACATACACTTACAGCTGTAATACCGCTGAATATGCTGTCAAACATACACTTACAGCTGTGATACTGCTGAATATGCTGTCAAACATACACTTACAGCTGTAATACTGCTGATTGTGGTGTCAAACATATACTTACAGCTGTAATACTGCTGAATATAGTGTCAAACATACACTAACAGCTGTGATACTGCTGATTGAGGTGTCAAACATACACTTACAGCTGTAATACTGCTGAATGTGGTGTCAAACAAACACTTACAGCTGTGATACTGCTGAATGTGGTGTCAAACATACACTTACAGCTGTAATACTGCTGAATGTGGTGTCAAACATACACTTACAGCTGTGATGATGCTGAATGTAGTGTTAAACATACACTTACAGCTGTAATACTGCTGAATGTGGTGTCAAACATACACTTACAGCTGTAATACTGCTGATTGTGGTGTCAAACATACACTTACAGCTGTAATACTGCTGAATGTGGTGTCAAACATACACTTACAGCTGTGATACTGCTGAATGTGGTGTGAACAATACACTTACAGCTGTAATACTGCTGAATATGCTGTCAAACATACACTTACAGCTGTGATACTGCTGAATGTGGTGTCAACCATACACTTACAGCTGTGATACTTCTGATTGTGGTGTCAAACATACACTTACAACTGTCATACTGGTGGATGTGGTGTCAAACATACACTTACAGCTGTAATACTGCTGAATATGCTGTCAAACATACACTTACAGCTGTGATACTGCTGAATATGCTGTCAAACATACACTTACAGCTGTAATACTGCTGATTGTGGTGTCAAACATATACTTACAGCTGTAATACTGCTGAATATAGTGTCAAACATACACTAACAGCTGTGATACTGCTGATTGAGGTGTCAAACATACACTTACAGCTGTGATACTGCTGAATGTGGTGTCAAACATACACTTACAGCTGTGATACTGCTGAATGTGGTGTCGAACATACACTTACAGCTGTAATACTGCTGAATATGGTGTCAACAATACACTTACAGCTGTAATACTGCTGAATGTGGTGTCAAACATACACTTACAGCTGTGATACTGCTGAATGGCGTGTCGAACATACATTTACAGCTGTAATACTGCTGAATGTGGTGTCAAACAAACACTTACAGCTGTGATACTGCAGAATGTGGTGTCAAACGTACACTTACAGCTGTGATACTGCCGAATGTGGCGTGAACAATACACTTACAGCTGTGATACTGCCGAATGTGGCGTGAACAATACACCTACAGCTGTAATACTGCCGAATGTGGCGTGAACAATACCCTTACAGCTGTGATACTGCCGAATGTGGCGTGAACAATACACTTACAGCTGTGATACTGCTGAATGTGGTGTACAGTTGCGATTTCTTATGGATGTGAAAAGGGTTTCGTCGTTTCTTTTTCTACCACAAAATTTACATGTGAGTGAGTTTAGTTTTACGCCGCTTTTAGGAATATTCCTGCAATATCACGACGGGGCACACCGGATATCGGTTATACACACTGTGCCCATGTGATGAATCGAACCCGGGGCTTCGGCGTGACGAGCGAATGCCACTGGGGTACCCCACCGCCTCAAAATGTTACAAGTATCTGTTCTGGTTACACGTATCTGTTTAAGGGTCTTTTACCTGGTAAGGAGAGACGTATTGGACGTCCTCAAACAATGTCCACATCACGCTTTGATGACAAGGGGGCGTGGTCAGACTCCCGTAGTAACGGTAATAACGTGTCGTATCAGCAGGAAGCAGGCCCAGCAGGTTCACGGATTGCAGATCGGTAAAGTTACCTGGAAATAATGGATTGTTGTCACTGATAAAACCACAAACTACACTTATAATCCCCAGGTTGTTGGGTCGTACCACCCATCAGCCTCATCACTTGTATTTTCTAGCTGCCACCATATAGCTGGATTATTGCTGAGTGCGGCGAAAACTAAACTCACTCACTCTCTCATGTTCTAATAAGAAGATCCGGTATAGAAAATTATCTTCGGCAGCCCATGTTTCTCGTAATAGGCAAGTAACAGGATCGGGTGGTAATGCTCGCAGACTTGGTTAACAAGTTATCGTATCGCAATTGCGTATAACGATGATCGTGCTATCAATCACAGGATTACTTGCAGGTCGCCGTCATGTCTCCATTCCTGGCCAGTACAGATGACTTAACTGGTCCAATTCTGGGCGAACATGGCACAGTCTATATTGGCCAGTACAGTGCACTGGTCCAGTAACGGTTTTTATTTTTGCTGATGTCGTTTTAGTATGAATTTTAAGGCGAGAAAGCGATGGCCCTAATCAGCCACCAAATTTTAGCAGCTCAATTCGGAAGGCAACAAAAAGGTAACAGGATGCTGTTTCATATAAATTTTGATTTTAGCTCATGAAAATCAGTCAGTACTGTTATATTTGTGAAAAGTCAAGTAACGGTATCTTATTAGCGATGGAAAATATGAAGAATGTACAATTGTATTATATACAATATATATAAGAGACACACATGTACAAAGTCGTATCATTCATCTAAGTCCAATATTCATATCCTTCCATTGCAAGGTAGGACTTAACATAATCAAGCATTCATCCAACTGTTTACAGTTGTCGGTCTTCGGTATATACGTATACATGCTATGATGGGCTTTTAGCATGGCCCTCCGTGGTGTGGAACCAGCACTACGTCAATATCCTTATTATTATTATTATTATTATTATTAGTTTTGAGTGGCTTGTGTCTCTCTAGCAGAAAACACTTGTTCACAAATTCTCCCACAATGCTTTGAGACTGCACCTCCTTTCACAGTGCACCACAGTGACGCTTACAGCCACACATCGTAAATTTGATACTAAACTCAAGCTCCTGCGTTATCCAGACCCAGCCAGACTGCGCTTTTCATATAGAGACTTACCAGCATACTTAGCTCGAACCACTCCTTCCTCAATGGGTCTGAAGTACGGGTTTTCCCTCTGCAAATACAGCATTACTTGTATGTAGATATATCCATGTTTCTCTACAGACTTCTCATATGGAGCATGTGAACAATGATAGGGAATTGTATTGTAAAAACATATGCATCAATGCGTATAATCACACATAATCATCGCGTTTGAGTCCGTATATTGTCTATGATATGTAGCACAACAGCGAACTTGTACTATCACCATACGTGGGCCGGTGGCTGGTAATGAAATATATACATAGCAATATGATGGCCGTAAGATATTGCGGCTGAGAGAGAGAGAGAGAGAGAGAGAGAGAGAGAGAGAGAGAGAGAGAGAGAGAGAGAGAGAGAGAGAGAGAGAGAGAGAGAGAGAGAGAGAGAGAGAGAGAGAGAGAGAGAGAGAGAGAGAGAGAGAGAGAGAGAGAGAGAGAGAGAGAGAGAGAGAGAGAGAGCACATGAATATCAGCAAACTATGTTTAGAGACATATGTACCGAAATGTATGACATGAAGAGAATCATTCTGTATAACAGTTCACAAGGTGAGGTTTCAGGTCATATACATACAAAGAAAAGCGTAACAGTATGGTTTCCCATAGTGTTGAATCTATAGAGTTATAAAAGTCGTTTTCTGCTCCGAAAAGAATGGCAACATATCTTGTTCGCCTTGCATTTCAAATATTACGTAAGTTTCAACATCAAGTTTATCAATTAAGTATGCAAAGAAATAATTTCGTTGTTGTATTAAGTTTTCACAGTGGAGAAGCATATGGAAATCATAGTCAAATGTTTGTTTATTACAAAGAGCACAGATTTTACCTCTTGATAATATTTTGACACAAAATTGCAAGGAAGATTTATAATCAGGGTGTTTATACGCCAGTTGCCAGAGAGTATGATAAGAGAGTGTAGTAGGAGTTGTTGCGTAAAATGACATGTTTGAACGATAGAGAGTTTGTGATCGCCATAATTGTTCTTCATAACTATGTACAGTAGCATTTACAATTCTTCTCCATACACGTTTTGGAGGAAATATGCCTTGAGCAATATATTTGTCAACATATGTATTTAGATTATACTTTTCAGATATTGACAAAAGATCATCACAGATGTTGTTAGATTTTACGGAAGTTGTAATAGCAGCACAAAAGATATGTTTTGCAAAGTTGTTACACTCAGTGTTATATAGTCGCCCAAGAAATAGCAGTTTGCATTTATCGATATACCCAATCAGTGACCATAATCCCAAATTTGTAGATATTGATGATGACCTCTTACCAAGACCTTGCACAAGACGAGCAAAGTACCTTTGTGTTTGGTCAAAGGTGTCAGCCTGTTGGATGTTTGGTAATACTTCACAGCCATACAGACTAGTTTTAAGAGCCATATTTTAACACAAGTGATTGGATGTAGGCCAGAATCATTCAGTCCAATAGATCTAAGAGAGTTTACATTCTGTCTTGCTTTCTGACAACACTTTTCACTTCTAGTTTTTGTATTCAAATCTCTTTATTCCATTACTGAAGAGGCCACAGGCCTATAGTACAAAATATAAAAACAATAATGGCATACAATCACAATGTTTGTAAACGTTATTTTCTTTGTTCAAAAGCATGGTGGATATACATACCAAGTTTACGAATATAAGTTGTATTATTAGAGTTCATTATCAAATCAAATTTCAACATGGTAGGATGTGAATAGTAATATTGTGGTAGATATTTTGTCCTTAAATCAGCATAGTAAGGACATACCAGCAAAAAGTGGAATTCATCTTCAATTACATTTAGTGCACAACATTTGCACAATCTGTTATCTCTTGGAATATTATAATATCTACCCTTCTCGATCATAAGATCATGTGAAGAGCATCTAAATCTGGATAATGAAACGTGGAATTTTCTAACATTGATATCGTGTAGGTATTGCTCTGTATGGAAAAAAAGATTTAAAAGTACTGTAAAAAGTGGATTTGGGCGACTGTATTAAAGATGAGTTCCAGGTCTGAATGTACATATCTTTTAATCTTTGCGATAAAGCATTATAAAATGACTTCGGGCAGGTAATCTTTTGTGACAAAATACATCACTAAAACCACAATGATTTAGTAAATTTCTAACATTCGTTACCCAATTTGATTTACCGTTGGTGTCAAACAAATACATCATGTTATAACATTTCTTAGGAAATCTTGATGCAGGCATATTCAAGAGCTTTACCCAGTATTTGATAACTTTTATCTGTGCTTTTAGATAAAGTGGGAAGCGACCGCATTCACCATAGATCATCACATTTGGGGTATTTAATTTAACTCCTAAGACTTTTTTTACACGCGTACAAGTGAACCTTTTCCAATGCTTCCAACCGAGAAAACCCCCAAACCTCTGCCCCATATAGCAAAATTGGTTTAATTTTTGTATCAAATATTTTGAAATATGTAGTTTTTGTAGAGAGGTTACGGTGGTGGTGAAAACAGTGGTTTGTGTATGTAAGTAAACAACGGTTAGTTAAAGAATAGTTGGTACATACTGGTGAAAATAGTGGTTAGTGTAAGTAAGACAATAATAAATTTAGTAAAAGAACGGTTAGTTAAAGAATAGTTGGTAGACGCTAGTGAAGACAGTGGTTTGTGTATGTAATTAAAAGAATGGCTGACACATGATGGAACTAAAACCAATGGTTTGACTATATTATGTTTCCATCCAAAATGTTTCTGTTGTACTCACAGCTATGTCAAAAAACGTCCCAAGCACAGCAAGACCGTCTCTGAACCTCATGGCGTTTGACAAGCTTCCATATTTGGTGGCATAACTTACGATGTGCATCTGTATGAAAGCAGAGGAACATAATACTACATATTACTGATACATGAACATAGGCATGAGGAGCACGACATTTGTGTCATTCACAAAACACTTACAGCTTGTGTCAAGAACGCAATAAGATATCAGTACGTAACATCCTTCGTCATTATTGCGACAATAACCCAATGCCCTGTGTCATTAACGTAACATTATATGTCATTCACTGACTGACTGACTGACTGAGTTTGGTTTTACGCCGCTTTTAGCAATATTCCAGCAACATCACGGCGGTGGACACCAGAAATGGGCTTCACACATTGTGCCCATGTGGGGATTCGAACCCGGGTCATCGGCGTGACGAGCCAACGCTTTAACCATTAGGCTACCCCACCGCCCCATATGTCATTCACACAACACTCTATTAGGTACATGCTATGTCATTAACACAACAATATGTTATCAATTACATTGTATGTCTTAAGGTCTACGGTATCAATCACATTTAGAGATGCGTATACCTTTACCCCTTCCTTTGGTACTAGCTCATGCTTGTAATCGTATTTCATCGTCTCGGATTGTCGCTGATAATATCGATCGCTGGTTGGTCTGGTACAAACTTATTATTTACTGACGAAAACTACTTCCTTGGTTTTTATTGCTGAATGTGGCCGAAAACAAACCATACGACACCATGGCCATGTATATCTGTGTGGTTCTTTTAGAACAAAATTATTGAGAACGTCCCATGATCAAACGAAAATGAAACCAGCTTTCCTCTTACCTCCAAGGGATATTTTCTACCATTGATGGAGTGTTCGGAGCCGAGGTTGTTGGAGCTGCCCCAGTGGAAGTGTAGCTCAGCGGTGTTGTACTGGCCGTCAAGGCCACCTCCCTCCACGGACATGTTACCAAATATGGATATACTTGCTGGAATTAACACACAAGTGGAATTACATAATATGAAAGAGGCAGTTGTTCCCTATGTTTGAAAATTAATGTTTGACCATTGTGTTTATATCTATTTGCATGCATGCCCAAGATCTACTAGCGCCTGCAGCCTTGTCAGGATCCGAAAATAACCCTTTGAATAACAATAAGGTATCCTTTGAGTTGAATAATACATGTATTTATCAGTGAGAGAGTTTCTTTCATAACTATAATACAACCAGACCCATTGTCATAAAAACAAAGCACATATCCTACATGAAGATGAGGTTAAGTATGCCTATTTCTTTGATGGAATCCAAGAGTTACTCATGTTTCTAATCTGTCGTGTTAGCATCCTACTACCCGTGAAGATCCGGGTTAGAACTGATCTTGATCAACCCATGCTTTTCGTAAAAAACGAATAACGGGATCGGGTGGTCAGGCTCATTGGCTGGGTTGACACATGTCATCGTATCCCGATTGGGTAGATCGATGCTCATGTTGTTGATCCCTTGATTGTCTGGTCCAGACTCGATTATTTACAGACCGCCGCCATATGGCTAGAATATTGCTGAGTGTGGCGTAAAACTAAACTCACTCACTCACTAGTATCCTACGTTTACTTCCAGGTTAGATGAAGTTTGTAAAACGTTACTTTCACTATGATAAAACTTCAATACTGCTCAAAGTGGCGTAAAGGACAAACTCACAACGAGAAAGAGTGAGTAAGGTTTGTACCTCTAACAGTATCACAGAACGACACAAGAAAGGTCTTTACAGGCTGTACCGTAGTGGGAATCACATCCTGGGGATGAAGCTAGCTCTTTTACTTTCTCTTTAGAAACATCTCACAAAATAACCCTGGTTACTCTTTCATTAGTCTTCAAAATATAGTTTAACGCATTGCAAGCATTTTCAACATGGTTGTTCTTCACTACCTGTATGCCCGTTGTTAGTGAGTCTGAATGCGGTTCGTAAGCCATCGAAGTTGTTGAACCTAAAGGGTGGTAGCTCCTGGTATATGATGTTCCGGTCTTGTATATTCACGGGAGACTGCCTGGTTCCACTACACGTCGGATATAGCAGCGACCAGTTGCCTGGGCCTGAGATGGATACAGAAATAGTCATTACTTAAGCAGAAACTTTGAACGTCATTTAGAAGTGATGCACATAAATACAAGACGTATTTATGGACGTCAACTTCTATATTTTGAGGGACACGACGTTTCGGGGTTTATTCTTACTCCTTCATCAGGTGACCGCCTCCGTGGTGTAGTGGTTAGAGCGTCCGCCCGGAGAGCGGAAGGTCGCGGGTTCGATCCCCGACCGCGTCATACCAAATAACGTTAAAATGTGGTACTTGTTGGTCCCTGTCTGGCGCTCGGCATTAATGGGTACAACAAGGACTGGTCGGCTCGGAGTCAGTATAATGTATTTCTGCTTCACTGCGGCATGGTATCTCAGTGAGCTAGCACTATAAAACCAGCTTCAGTCTGGGCTAGTACAAGCAGCCGCACATACACACACACGCATGCACGTCGTCATATGAGCGAAATATTCTCAAGCACGACGTTCAACCCAATTTCACCTCACCTTCATCAGGTGAAACAAATGACTGATCAGGACAAAAAAAAGCCATGATGAAGAAGTAAGAATTCATTCCGAACAGTCGTGTCCCTCAAAATATAGAAGTTGACATCATCGCCTATATTACTTAAACATGCTGAGAAACGGAGAATTTTACCATTGTATAACTTGCATCACGTATATACATAGGAGTCGATAAAAGTGTAATAGTCCAAACATTTTCTATTGGATTTAGGTCAGGGCTATAGCTTGGCCAATCCTATAATGTCATATTTGGGGTCCGAAACCAGGCTTGCGAATGCTTTGAACGATGTTTTGGTCGTTGTCCTGCTGGAAAATCCAAAATTTTCCATAGAACACGTGAGCAGATGGAAGTAAATGCCCCTCGAGAATATCTGTGTACCGCTCACTGTTCATATTCCCTTCAAATACACAGAGGGGCGTTGCCCCTAACACAGATATGCCACCCCACACGTTAACTTTCGGACTGTACTTTGGGCGCTGATACAAAGGTTTTTCAGTTTGTTTGGTCCAGAATTTCAGTGTATTAGGAAACAGCCACACAGAACTTTCATCTGAGAAAATCACATTGTCCCAGTTAAAATATCTATGCTGTAAGCACCAGTTCAACCTTCGCTCCTTTTATTCAGGTTACGTGATCGGTGATGGAATTCTACGACTTTTCTGCCAACCCATTGCATGCAGCTCAGTTCTAATTGTCTCCTTACAGACAGCCACAGTTCCTCTATCTATCATATCCAGCCTTAAGTTTTCTAAACTCCTTCGTTTGTTTTTAGAAACAAGAATACCAAGCCGCCTCCTGTCACCGACAGTCAATTTTCTGGGTCTACCTGCGCCTCCCTGGTGCTCAGTGTCATATCCATTTGCAATATTTTTCAAAACACGATAAACAGTGGACAAAGGGATGCCTGTTCTACTTGAAATCACTTTAGCTGATCTGATGTCCTTGTTATAATACTCTAAAATCAACTTCCTCATCCTAAGTCATCCATACTGAGGATCACTGAAAATGTCGTCTGCTAGCAAGTAAACAAAGGGGATAACTCTTCAAAAACTAATGAAAAAGGATTAACGGAGTTGTCTCTCGTGAATGAAACCAAGCACTTGATAGCTGGTCAAGGTTGTTTATACTAGAAATCCAATTAAACATATTCCTAAAATTCTCAATAATTTCTGGTCATACTATATTCTTGTCTTGAACACAGTTAATGACTTGAGAGATAGAGCGAATGAAGACGCTATGTTATTGTGAGGACATTGCAACATTGCACTGGTATTATGAGCAAGTGCGATTGAAGCAAAAACGCCTTGGAAACAGCGGTTGATATCGTATCTCACATAGCAACGTCGTCTGTGATAACCAGTTGACATTTGCAATACACAAGACACCCGTAGAGGGAAACGAGTCAGGAACCATTTTGTGCGTCTTCAGGGATTGCACAAAAATACCCAAACAAACATCATGTGTCTATGCAAACACTGCACGGTTCTGAATGATACCAGCAAAAAGCACAAAGATTACGCAAACACGGCTGGACAACCAAATTTTATCTCCAAATAGTTTGGGTCAAAGATTTGATTTAAACTTCGTTTTCCCCTTTTCAGACATTTGTGCAGCAATCGTCATATGTAAAAGTTGAAAACATTTTGGAAGAACGGAAGTTTCTCATGTTAACTTCGTAAGTATTTGATGGCAATTGCTTTCTCAACAGTTTATATTCCTCTAAAACCTTCTCCGCTCATATCATCTCTAAATGATCGTTGAAAACCATACATGTATAATCCCAGTAGCATTCTGGTGGTGTGCATGAGGTTAGATAGCAAAATATTCATTTTCGTTCAGTAATTCATTTAATTCAATGTGTGTCTTGGACAGTCACAACGCACCTCAGTTATACATGAACTGAAGCAGTCATGTTTTAACAGCATCATGGCATCCATGTACATCCGCTGACAGACAGAAGACGTATGGTTGGGCAAAACCTACCTGCGTCGCCCTTGTAGCTCCAGTGATGGCTGAGATCACCGCCCCCATTTCGACCTGGAATATTAAAAATTTAACATAGATTAAGTTATTTGTATTCAATAATTGAAAGTCTTATCATTTATAAAATTGCTGCACATATAAAAACGTTGTTTGAAGTTGAACGTCAACTTGTCTTACATGTTCCTCCAGGGGAACATTGCTCTGATCTGTTAATCCTCGTGGTCGCCGTTGGGCTATTTTTGTGTATTTTCTTCTTATGTAGCTCATAAACTGACACATGGATAATTAAATCAACTGTAATGCAGATCGCCACGGCGCCTGTAAACTCATTATGCCAGTAATATGTGTATTTGGTAGTTGTTCGGTATTAGTAAATGAAATTTATTGTCACGTCTCAATACAAGAGGATTATATCCCTGTCAACTGCCTTTGACAACGACGCCTAATAAATAACGTTAATCCCCAATGATGCCGGCTTTTGTAGTTTATGGTGGTAAGGTTGGATACATGTAAGGTTGGCTGTCAGATAATAAACTTCCTCGTAATCGATGAATTCCCTTTTGCGTAGAATATCTGATGGGACCATCCCTTTTAATCTGAACCTTTGAAAATAATATTATGTAGGTGTAGGGATTTTAATCATGTAACTTAACATTGGTCATACATTAAACAGAATGAGTTTTAGACTCGTATTATACTATCCCGAATTTTGGCTACCAATCAATCAGTCAATCTTTATTGACTCCAAAACCACCTACGGTGGTACAAGAGCAAAACACAAAACATATATTACACATTATGCATGCGTCTTAGGGACTATTTTTTCACAAGATTTGTACAATATTTATGGATCTAGACAGGCATTTCAGTTCATTTGTGCACTTAGGTGTCACATCTACAGATGTAATGAAACTCATCTCCCATCACTTTTAGTTGCTAAGTTTACATAAACGATCTTCCCTCGCAATGCCCTGCAACCGGCCAGTCTCTATAGATAAGTTATGATTTGAAGTGCGGAATGTGCGACAGGTGAACAATTGGCTTGCCTTTGCATGTATTCATGATGGTGCCACCGGCCGGGCAGGATAAACTCACATTTGATCGAACTCCTTGTATCAGCACTATTGTGATAGTGATTCATAAATAAATGCTCATGACAAGATATAGTGGGATTTATACAGTCGACTCTGCTTTTAGCAGAAATTTCTCATGAATGTGGAAAGGGTTTGGTCAATTTCCTTATTGAAAGACGACATGTTCGTAAAATGGATGAAGTGTCACTTTAATACACTAAGAAGCCAAACAAAGAATGCATTCATGTATGAAGAGGGATAGATATAAACCAAATAGGAAATGGTTACATGATTCTGATAATTTGATACCGGTCTCATTGTTGTGTTCTGGACGTCACCTTGCAGTGTTGCGGCGGCCTGTAGCCTAGTTACGTTTTGTGTGTCCTATTGGGGATAATCCCCTTTGCTCGTCAGTTATTGTAGATGGAATAGACGTGTGTGAATTTTACTTCCCTCTATGTGATCAAACAGGTGGATCTGTTCTTCGTACTGTTTTATATATAGGTGAGCTGGACAAGCCTGCTCACGAAGCTATTTAATAAATGTAAAAGTACTGTAAGAGTGAGAGTAAAAGTAAGTGAGTGAGTGAGTGAGTTTAGTTTTACGCCGCTTTTAGCAATATTCCAGCAATATCAGGGCGGGGAACACCAGAAATGGACTTCACACATTGCACCCAATGTGGGGAATCGAACCCGGGTCTTCGGCGTGACTCGCGAATGCTTTAACCACTAGACTACCCCACCGCCCAGTAAAAGTAAAAGTAAAAGTAAAATATTTATGGCACCAGTGAGTTTGTGTTTGATGTGAAACGGGCATTTGTACCATTGACATACATGGATGTTAGACAATGTCTGAACCATAGAAGGACAACATAGTTGACATATTATCTCGGTGACGCAATGAGTGAGTGTCACTTCCAAGCTTGTTGGTGCTCCGTCGGTAATATGCATGGCTGATTTTGTTAAAGTCTCACTTCTGTCACGTGTGACAAGTCATTTATCACACGAACACCATGCCTAAAGGGCACTCTGATTTTGGTTCACTTTCTTCACAGAACAACATAGAAACAGAGACCTTCGATCTCCCACGGCTTTGTCGCGCTTAAGTTGTTACGTCATTCTATTTTATTATTGTAATCACTTTATTTTTTCTCGTATAAATATAGAGCGTAAGTAAAAGTGATATATCTTTTTGTTCTTGAGTGAATGAGGGACAGAACGTTAAAACAGCGTTTAGTATTTCAGTTATGTCACGACGTTCCAGCTAAATCCTAAACGAAATTCATACCTTGTGCATCGTGAAATAAACGAGAGCTGGTATGTCACTCACAAAACAAGCATTATGGTCACAACAAATCATGGATTTGAACTCATACTCAGCGGATCCTGTCACGACTGAGGCGTTTCAGTCAGTTGGGCCACCAATGTGTTCTAACTGTTAAGGGTAAGGGGGGTGGCCTAGTGGTTAAAGCGTTCGCTCGTCAAGTCGAAGACCTGAGTTCTATTCCCACATGGGTACATTGTGTGAAGCCCATTTATGATGTCCGTGACAATTGCTGGAATATTGCTAAATCGGCGTGAAACTTTACTCACTCACTCACCCATTATTAAATTTTAAAACATGCCCGAGAACTCACCTAATTCAACAATATTACAACAGATGATCCACAAGAAGAGCAAACCTCTTTCTCCTGAACGTCAATATATAGAACTCTAAAAGGGAGGACAGCAGCTACGCGTATACCAAACTGGCGGATATAACGAGGGTCCAATCCACTATCAGTCAACAAACTACGCTTACAACGAACTAACATTGGTTGTCCCTTTGAGTTTGTTATAACCGTGGTGTACGTTATTTAGTTAAATACGTCTGGTAGTAAATAGCATATATCTTTTACATAACTTGTATTTGTTGCACGATGCTATGACATACAGAGATAAAATGGTGATGGATGTCAAGCGGCACCACAACAGGAACGTATACTGACGGCCAAAACAAAGTATACATTTCAAACTTGGATCTGCCCCAAACATTACACAAGTTAACAAACATTACCACACTGAAACCGGGCGCGGCCGAAAACGTCCACGACTATAAAAAAAGTGCACAGAGAATTGGGACTCTTCTAAAAACATAACACGTGACCAGCGCGAAGATTACCCCAGGTTCGACGTTGTGCGCACCACTGTCGTCTGTTGGCAATATGTTTGTAAGGGCTGCACAACATGTTCCCGTTGAGTATGAAAGCTGGACCGTCACTGGAACTCGAGTAGTCATATTTTTATTTACCTAACCCATGTCGGATCAATCGATCCTGTACTCTTAATGTTAACATGGACACCATTGCGAGAATACCTGTGACGTGGGACGCCATGAGAGGGGTATGTCGTCAACATTTGGGTCAGTCTGCTAATCACAGGCTGTGAACTATTTAACATATAGGCTACTGCGTGTAACATATAGGATTTCGGCAACTTTCCAGAATGCAAATAGTCTGTAGATGTTCAACGCATTGCAAACGCCGCACCTCAAAACAAGGCAGGAAATCAAACACGTCTCCGATATACAATGGGCAGAATCAGTAAGACAGAAATAATTAATTAACTTTTCTTTAAAGCGTCAAAGTTAGGAATAACACGCCTGCGTATGACAGCGTGAGGTAGAGAAATCCATCGGATGTGTTTTAGCTCTCGGTTTTACAGACTGAAATGAAATGTTCTTTCATAGGAGCTACCTTTGTCCTAGTAGCTCTGTATTGTACATGTCACGATGCCCGATATCTTTAAGAGCATGTAAGAAGCTACCTGGAGAGAAAGACAGCGACTTGACATCATTGTGAGAATACATGTGATCGGCGCTTATTGACTGCATTAGGGATCATTCTCTCAATAGTTTCATATAGTGGTTTGTCGTTAACACTAAACATCCTTACGGAAACCTACAGATATTCGATACAAGATCTAGTTATGGAGTAGTTATATATAGGTAAATCTACGTTTATGTATGCACACTCTTGAGATCGTAATAAATGTATTATGTAGTACATTTTAAACAGTGTAACATATAACAAATTAAAAAATTTCAATCCAGTTTTCTCCGTTCTTTGACACGTTAAACAGTTTCACTCCGATAGGATGCTCACAACAATGTCAGGTTTTCAAAGTTTTGTATAGAAAATGAAAGGAATACACAGAAAACGGTGTATATGTTCTAATTTACTTGAGGAATCTTGCGTGCCGTTATAAGGAATACTTTTGATGACCAGGCGATATATAATGTATATATGATATCAATTCGCTTATATTGTCCCATATCCTAGCAACTACATTTCAGTTTCGCAGCAATAACAGAACTACATTTTGCATCAATAACAGAACTACATTTTGCAGCAATAACAGAACTACATTTTGCAGCAATAACAGTCCTACATTTTGAGGCAATAACATTTTGCATAAATAACAGACCTTCATTTTGCAGCCACAACAGCATTTGTATCAATAACAGAACTACATTTTGCAGCAATAACAGAACTACATTTTGCAGCAATAACAGAACTACATTTTGCAGCAATAACAGTCCTACATTTTGAGGCAATAACAGAACTACATTTTGCAGCAATAACAGAATTACAATTAATAGGCAATAACATTTGGAGGCAATAACAGAACCGCAACTACATGAACTACATTTCGCATTAATGACAGAACTATATTTTGAGGCAATAACAGAACTATATTTTGCAGCATTTGTATCAATAACAGAACTACATTTTGCAGCATTTGTATCAATAACAGAACTACATTTTGCATCAATGACAGAACTACATTTTGAGCCAATAACAGAACTACATTTTGCAGCAATAACAGACCTACATTTGGAGGCAATTACAGAACTATCTTTTGCAGCATTTGCATCAATAACAGAACTACATTTTGCAGCAATAACAGACCTACATTTTGAGGCAATTACAGAACTATCTTTTGCAGCATTTGCATCAATAACAGAACTACATTTTGCAGCAATAACAGAACTACATTTTGAGGCAATAACAGAACTACATTTTGAGGCAATAACAGAACTACATTTTGAGGCAATTACAGAACTATATTTTGCAGCATTTGCATCAATAACAGAACTACATTTTGCAGCAATAACAGAACTACAATTAATAGGCAATAACATTTGGAGGCAATAACAGAACCGCATTTTGAGGCAATAACAGAACTACATGAACTACATTTCGCATTCATGACAGAACTATATTTTGAGGCAATAACAGAACTACATTTTGCAACAATAACAGACCTACATTTTGAGGCAATAACATTTTGAGGCAATAACAGAACTATATTTTGCAGCATTTGTATCAATAACAGAACTACATTTTGCAGCATTTGTATCAATAACAGAACTACAATTTGCAGCAATAACAGACCTACATTTTGAGGCAATAACATTTTGAGACAATAACAGAACTGCATTTTGCAGCAATAACAGAACTACATTTTGCAGCAATAACAGAACTACATTTTGCAGCATTTGTATCAATAACAGAACTACATTTTGCAGCTATAACCGACCTACATTTTGCAGCAATGACAGAAATACATTTTGAGGCAATTACAGAACTATATTTTGCAGCATTTGCATCAATAACATAACTATATTTTGCATCAATGACAGGACTACATTTTGCAGCATTAACAGAGCTACAATTAATAGGCAATAACATTTTGAGGCAATAACATTTTGAGGCAATAACAGAACCATATTTTGAGACAATAACAGACCTACCAGAACTACATTTTGCAGCAATAACAGAACTACATTTTCTATAGTAATAACAGAACTATATTTTTGCAGCAACAACAGGACTACATTTTACAGTAATTACCTTCACCTGAACAAGATTTCGAGAGCGTCTTCGGCTCACTGCCTGGATGATGTCCATTATTCTTCGTGTCATAAAACTGTCTGCTTAACATTAACAGGCATTGCACCTTCATGGCATGCACATGTGATGTCACAAAATGTCTTCCTTGTGTAAAATAATATCAGTATTGCTGCTCTTTGTTCGCATCTGATCAAACTGTTTGGACGTATAGCAAATAACTGATATTCATATGTAAATATTGATTAAACATGTAATCAAAACTGTGGCGAAATTTTAAGACGCGAATTTTTCGACTTTGTCATTCTTGGTACACAAATGTATTACCTCCGAGTCCCTCAATGTAATTATGAAATCACACGAAATCACTAATGAATGCATATTTGACCATTACCTAAATACAAAATTCATACAGTAAGGTTTGACAAAGGTAAAGACTGTTATCGGATTCCTTCAAGAACTCAGATTTGACGTGTGTCCCAAGTCAGAGACACTTGGGTTGATGTCCGAAATGTGATGCAAGAGGTTCGTCAATCACCATATCATTCAGAGAATGCGCAACACAGTTATCACGATGAACAGTTGTATTTGCAACGAAAAAACATAATTTAAAAGTTCTTACCCGTCGGTGACTCCCCATAAAGGAGGGTAGACAACAGTAGATGTAGAAATTGTTGGGCCATCACCACCGACTGACAAGCTGCAGTACGGGCTATCGCTTTCTTACGTTGTGACGAGCACGATTTACTGCCAGTCAAACTTGTCTCGGCGGCAAAGCATATATCAAAGGCTTGCCTCTTTTACAGTACGGGACGCCGCTCTTGTTCTCTAATCAGTTGTTTAAAGAGGACCTTTATTGAACACGAGATTGTATTGGGAAACAGGGATGTCCTGGCGTGACAAAAAATGACTTCATAAACGTGTCACGCCTGGGGGGATGTTCCGAAGACGCCGTTGTCACACTTGAGCGAACAACACCTAGGCCTTAAGTCTCCTTGGAGAGAATTTGTGTGGCGTTTGACAGCTTGCGATAAAGCAGGAGGTACAACGATGACTTTGAATATTATGATAGTATGAGGAAAGAATGAGTAGGATTAATTCCGTGCTGAACGTTATTTCGATTCTTTCAAGGCGTATTAACTTACTGTGGTGGGAAAGCCCTGAGGGTGTCATTACCGCTTTGTCCGTCACAGTCTCATTTGATCACCCCTGAATTCAGAATACAACTTAACAAAATCTCAAAATTAATATCAATACTCTCTCCATTTGACGAATATGGACTACTGGAGTGAGTGAGTAAGTGGGATTGAGTGAGTGAGTATGGTTTTATACCTCTTTTTACAACATTCCAGCAACATCACGGAAGGGGACACCAGAAATGGGCTTCGCACATTGTACCCAAATGGGGAATCGAACCCGGGCCTTCGGCGTGATGGGCGAACGCTGTAACCACTAGGCTACCCTACCGCCCGGCAAAAGGCCATAGAACACGTCCCTAGGCCGACTCCTTGTGTGCGACTCGAAGTTTAATTACTAAACGGAATGTCGAGACAATAATATATATGAAGATGTGTTTACATACGTACATGTATCTTGTATACTTTGAATCTGCTTATCAAATGGGTTCTATTTGTCTTCCAGATTGATGAGTCTAATTACCATCCAATTCTATCCTGACACTTGAGTCTAATTACCTTCCAGGTAGACTTCGAACCATGCGGGGGCGGTGGGGTAGCCTAATGGTTAAAGCGTTGGCTCGTCACGCCGAAGACCCGGGTTCGAATCCCCACATGGGTACAATGTGTGAAGCCCATTTCTGGTGTCCCCCGCCGTGATGTTGCTGGAATATTGCTAAAAGCTGCGTAAAACCAAACACAGTCAGTCGAACCATGCGTGCCATAAGTGGGCTGACGTCCTGAAAACTTTGGTGAAACCTAAAACACATAATCAGTCAGTATTCGAACCCACGATTGTACGTTTCTGACACACCCCTGGAACGCAGCTCAGCAAACTTCACTGAATTGTTATCCGTGTCCCCTTATCAACATGAAGTGCGTAAATTCAAACATAACTGTCTTTGTGGCTTCCATTCAAGGCTCCTAAAAGTTATAGTTAAAAGTATAGACCATAAAGGATATTTGGGTTTTATATTCCATATCTGCATCGTCCAATGAATTGTTTTAGCGAAGAGACGAATGAGGATAGTGTCTTATCAAGTGTCCAAAACATGGACAATTAGTTTCCAAAGGGATAGTTGGTTGTGTGAATGCTGGGTAAAGTTATCCGTATTTAATTCCCCATAGATACTCTAGGAGTAGAATAGTTCCCCAATATCTCCTACTTGTCATGCAATGAAGTTCATAATGTTACAGGGTACCAATTTAAACATGTCGAAATGACATTTCAAGTTTTTTGATGTTACAGTGGTATCACCTGCGGGATGTTACAGGAACAGCATTTTGAAAACAAAACATAAATCATATTATGTTACGGGGACAACTCTCTACATTCATCATCATGGGAGCTGGCACACGAACAGGTTCCGGAATCGTCGGGTCACAGACTCGTCACATTTCGGTTTGGGATTTCATGATGCTTGACATCTAGTATTGTGTTAAGGACGATAAGCGCATGGATATACACAGCGTATAAAGTCGCGGTCAAGCTTAGGGAGGAATAAATTAGCACACGTTGATGGCCTCTTGACATATTATAGCATCTCACAAAGAGGGGATACAGATGCGGGCAATAAAAACCTTCTGGGGAATGTGTGAATATGGTTTTACGCCGCCCTTAGCATCATCGCGGGGACACCACAATGGGTTACACACCCTCTACTCATTATGGGCGGGACACTTGAGGAGACTTAAATTAGGATGTCTCACTGTTCGAGTTACGTAAGAACTGACGCCAATATATTCTGCATGTTTGGAAATATAAACGTAAACTACTGTTTTTTAGGCCAGAGCACACGAAATAAAATTCTTACGCAGAACCCCAGCGACTCCTTGGGATGCGATTGGTCCAGGCACTGTAACTCGCTGTATTGCGTGTTATCACACAATTAGTATCCGTGAATGTGTTATGAAAAGACGGGTGAATGATTGAAACCCATGTGTTGTACAACATATCCATAACAGCTTGCAGTCAAATGCATAATGACCCCAATCGACTGTTTGATGCTTAACGCGGCCCTCGGCAAAATTCCAGCTGGCCTGAAGATATATAAACTTGGCCCGTAGATAATCGAACCCAGCTAGCACAAACCAGTGACTGATATTGAGCTACGATCCACATCCACGATTAGTTTTGTAACATATGCTATATATGGGATTACACGTTTTTTAGTAAAGAACAGATTCTAGAACTTTTGTTGGGTTGAGTCCAATCCGGGATTCGAACCCACACCATCAGATTCAGCACCACTTTCTAAATGGCATTGTTTAATCATACGATTATTTTTGTTTTTGATTCTTAACGGCGCACTCGGCTGTATTCCAGCAACGTAAGGTTGACATGGAACAGAGTTTATACCATGGGGACCAGTGCGGTCGCCTCCGTAGTGGTACGCTGAATCTTAGTCAACCAATCACTGACCCTAGTCACCCGATCCAGATGTCGCCTCATATGATCAGCAAATTCTGTTCGTGACCAATGATAACCTAGACTCCTCATGTTCGGGATGAAGTATAGATAACGTCTTGTTTTCAGACATGTGTGTAGAACTATGGTTTGTTACGATGCAAGACGTTGCCTGATGTCTGACGTCAACTGTTTTTAATGATATATTTCGAAAATCGGTTTTGGATAAGGAAGGGGCATTGTCGTTTTATTTGAAATATAATTGATAAATTATAGTTACATAAGTAGATTAAGAATATGTTATTGGTCTGTACAGGTCAGGGGCCATATCCACAACACGTCCGTAGCAGTATGCCCTTCGTAATCCTATGATACAGTATAGACTAACGAGAGGTCGTAACGTTACGAACGCTTTGTGGAACGAGACCCTGCACCTGATTTGGAGATAGTCCACCAGTAGGATTTCATTAGAATCTCAGGATACAGATGTCATCAACTTGCAAGCTGATAGAACAAACTTTGCCTTCTTCGAATGAGATGACATCAGGCTCGTCCATGGTCACGAACGGCTACGGCTGTACTAAATCAGCGGGATGTGCTTCAGAACGCGTGATGAAGTACCAGAAGTACGATGCTCAGAAACAGAAGCGTGCTGCACAACACTGGCAAGGAAACGTGCTTCGTCGCCTAGACGTTACATCATCTCCGGCAGCTTGTGTTGTAAGCCCTTGCAATTCGACATACTTAATGCCAGCCAGTTTTGATAATTTTCATCAAGAGACAATACCCACAGAAATATCATACCTGTTGGGTACCTAATTAACGCAAATTGTGTACGGTACATCCGTTTGAGGAATGCTCAGAATATTTTTTTCACGCTTCATTCATCCTTATCAATACTCATTGAAACAACGGCTGTTTTGACGTAGTCAACAATATTCCGGGGATGTGATCAGACACGTGATTGATACTGTGAGATACAGTGGTATTTCATGCCAGACTTCCTCATCGTCTTGAGACAATACTCGGGCAATTGTCACAGCTTAAGCGACGAGGCAAGCGACGGTATCAACTAAACTTGCATGAATTGTATTGCACCATTAAACTTATATTATTAATACACCCTTATCATCCATATCACTACTATTTTTACAAATCTACCACCGTTTGCAATCCAACCATGAAACACTTCTACCACAGTTAGACATATACCTATTTTACTACCTGGCCATCTTTAGACCCCAACAAATTCTACTACTTTATCATCCTCAGATCTCAACGATGTTTACTTCCCTACATAATTAGACCTCTACCAAGTGTAGTACTCTACCGTCCTTACAACCCTACCCATTTTACTACTCTACCATTCTTAGACCCTACCAAGTTCACTACCTTAGAATCCTTACAGTCTTGCCAATTTCACTAGCTTACCATTCTTAAGCCCCTACCAATTTCATTAGCTTACCATCCTTACAGCCTTATCAGTTTGACTGCCCTACGAACCTTACACCCCTACGAACTGTACTACCTTACCACCGGTATACCCCCAACAGGCATGTCTAGGTTACGTCAGCAATGTCTGAATATCGTAAGTTCTGTCTCTTGTCATTCAAACTAATGCCTTAACAAGCCAAGATATTTAGAGTAGTCATGAGTCATAAAGAAGAAACGCAACATAGACCTAGAGGTGAGGGGAATCAGGTTAAAGAGCAGAAGAAAAAAACTCGAAAAGATCCGACGTCTTTCAGAATACAACGGAGAACCTGATTAGAATTCGTAAATGTTGAGATACTGCATGTTTCTCCAGATGAGTCATTAATTCTACCGACATTGATTTGTGGTAGATTTCTGAACTTCCTGAAATAGTGCCAATCACAAGTGTGACGGATACAAGCCTAGAGCCCTGCATGTCATGTCCTTCAATCAAATTAGCACTGTGATGAATGCAGCAGAAGGACCCGTGACACTCAGAGAAGGAGGCCTCGTCCTATTGTCAATGAGTGGGTGGGTGGGCGAGTGAGTGAGTGGGTGCATGGGTGGTGGGTGAGTGAGTGAGCAGATTGATGGCTGCATGGCTGGATGAGTGAGTAAATAAGTGAGTGAGTGAGTGAGTGGGTGGATGGGTGGTATGTGAGTGAGTGAGTGAGCAGATCGATGAATATAATATACTCATGGCAATAACGGTTGAGTAACAATTTTTGTTATTAGAGACATGTGTGGTATGTGAGTGAGTGAGAGGGGTTGAGAACCATTATTGGCATGAGTATATATAATATC